CCCGCAGCTTCCGAGCAGCCTCCTCTGCCGCGCAAGGCGCCCAGCAGCAGCACGTCCAGCCTCCTGCAGGCCAGCCTGGCCGCAGGACACCGCGCTCTGCATCAGAACAGACCGGTGCCTCCCCCTGCCCCGAGCTGTCCCCGAAAGCCAGGCTGTCCTGGTTCCGCAACCAGGGCAGACCCAGAAAGGCACAGGTGGTGGGAGAAGTCTAGCCCAGGAGGTGAAGGCATCCTCCGAGCAGCAGCCGAAGACTCTTTCCAGACAGAGCCCCTGGAGAGAAAGAAAGAGAAAGAAAGAAAGAGAGAAGGGAGAGCCCCACAGTATCCGCTGCCCCACAGTACCTGTGTCTGTATCCTGTTGAGACCCCTGAACCACAGGATCTGCCCGCGCCGCAGCTCCATTTCAGCATGGTCGATCTCATCCACGTCTTCAGGCAGCTCCTCCTCTGGGATCTCCTCCTTGGTGATGCCATGCCCAGCTTCCTTCAGGAACTTCAGGTGGCTGGTTGGGACAGTGCAGATCAGCTGGGGAGAGGCAGGAGAGAGCAGCTCCTTAGCCCGCGGGCTACGGCAGCACAGAGCCCACCGCCAGCCTCCACCAAGGGGAAGCATCCCTGCAGCGAGCTGCCAGGGACTCAGCCGAGATGCCAGGATACAGCAGAGAGAAGCCAGCACTGGATCTGCCCCACTGCAAGCAGGGTGGGAACGAGGAGGAGATTAGCAACCTCCTCTCCTTGCTGCTGGCGTGATACTGGGATGGAGCATCATCTCCTTCCAAAGCTGCCTTGAATAAATACTGGGGAGAACAAGGGCAGTGAGGTAGCGGGAAGGAGAGGCAGGCTGGGCTGCGAGCACGCTGCGGCACGGAGGCACGTGGCATGTTTTTCAGACTGGCTCTTACCTGGCCCCAGAGGAGCTCTCCCACTCCGATAAAAATACACCAGAACCACTGGCTCAGGGTGAGCCCGGAGCAGCTGAATGGCTTCCCACCAAACTCCACAATGATGATCTGCAGCACAGGAGAGAACTGGTCACGCGCTGGGGAGCTCCAAGGGCTGCATGGCACAGCCACGGGATGACAAGGTCCCCTAGAGCCACACATCTTTCCCCTCCCTCCCCGGGATCAGGAGAGGAGCAAGGACCTCACATCTAGGCTAGTAACTTTACAGGACACCAGAGGCACGCTGCCTGGCCCGCCCTGGCATCTCCCAACACACTCTAGACCCCAATACTCAGGTTTTGGGTCACCAAGAAGCTGCTGGAGAAGAAAAAGGGCAGTGCTGTGGGCAGTGACTGCAGCAGACACAGGTCCTGCCTGCGTCATGGTCCCTTCCCAGCCCCACCGTCTTATTCCCACACTGTTCCCACAGCTTCACCTGAGCTGCAAATGTCCCCAGCACCACTGTGCAGAAGATGGGGTTGCGGTAGATGGACTCGAAGACGTTCCTTTCCCCGTGGATCTTGCGTGCATTGATCTCGTTGAACAACTGCATCATGACAAAGGTGTTGAAGACGATGGTGTAGTGCTCGGTGGGTGGGGAGTGGAGCGGGGCGTTTCGGCCACTGTCGATGTCAAAAAACTTCTCCCCTAAGCAGAGAAGAGGGTTTGGGGAGGGGATGAGGAAGGGCAGGGAAGAGAGGAGAAGATGAGATCCTGCTTCTTTCTTCTGCTCTGCACTGGTGGAGGTGGAATTAGGATCCCAGGCTCTTGCTGAAGATCCCTTGACCCAGCTGGAGTCCCCCATGTTAACCCCACTGAACCCTTATTTCTTTGAAAACGTTGAAAACCTGCTGCCCTGGCTAAAACTGTCTCTGCACCCACCGAGGTCTTGAGCAGACCCACACCCTCAATGTAAATCCTCTCCCTTAACACCCCTCCGCTTCCCATCCATTATTATATAAGCTCTGTCCTGGCCAACGTGGGGTCACCAAGAACAAGGGTCCCCACCACTGGTGAGGAAAGGCGGCTTACAAGGCCGTGCTGGGACTCTGCCCCTTTCCTTTTCCCCCCACCGTTTCTTGGGGCCTCACAGCTCACCCGCAAAAAGCAGCGTGAAAATGATGGTTAGCTGGTACACCGCATGCCCCAGGATGTTCTTCATCATGGTGCGGGAGATGAGCGGTTTGTTGCGGCCGTACGGCTTGCGCAGCAGCAGGGATTCGGACGGGGGCTCCGTGGCCAGGGCTAAGGAGGCGAAGGTGTCCATGATCAGGTTCACCCACAGCATCTGGACAGCCTTCAGGGGAGAGTCCTGCAGAGAGGGGGAGAGAACACGTCACACCACCAAAACCACCCTCTTCTCGCTCTGTTTTGCGGGAGCCTTCGCTCTCGTCCTGCAGAGCCCAGCAGCCCTGTACCTGCGTGATGCAGGCGCCCGTGAAGGCCACGATGACGGCCACGACGTTAACGGTCAGCTGGAACTGCAGGAACTTGGAGATGCTGTCGTAGACGTTGCGTCCCCACATCACGGCCTTGACGATGCTGGTGAAATTATCATCCGTCAGGATGATGTCCGAAGCCTCCTTTGCCACGTCCGTGCCTGCGATGCCCTTGAGGGCCAGGGAGAGAGCGATGGGGTGAGTCACGAAGCAAGCTCTGTGCTCGCCGTCCAGCCGGCTCCGCTTCTTCCCAGAAACAGCCCTAAGAGAGAATCCACTGGAGCCAGAGGAAACGGTTTCAGTCCTGCATTTGACAGCAAGCCCTGCTGCGGCTGCGCCAACGCACCCAGGGGAGCAGAGGCTCCAAAGCAGCAAAGCCTTCAAGGGACAGACCTGGCTCCTGAACAGGGCTCTGTGTCAGCGCAGCTTTACAGCCGGACGCTCCGAGTGCCCCAGACAGGGGCCACAGCACAGCAAAGGTGGAAAATAACTCCTAAGTGCAGCTTCCTCCTTATGCCAGGGGACACAGGGATCCCTGGCTGGGCATCTCTGCTGCGGGTGAGGGTTGGGACCCCCAAATGAGAGAGGGCTCTGCAGCCCAAAGCCCCGGCACCTTCCTGGTGCCTTCTGCCCCATCCAGGCAAGCAGGGCTGCCCACAGCCTCCCGGGAGTCACCTGCAGCATCCCAGAAGGACACAGCTTGCTCTGCAGGAGCTGGGCTCGCTGCGTTTCTCACCGCCGGCACACAGAGGCGCTCGCTTTGCAGTAATTAAATGCGCCAAAGCGATGCCCGTAATGAGCCAGTTCCCTGGTTCTTTCCTGGAGAAGCTCTCCTGAGATTTGCAAGACCCGTCTCAGACGGGAACCCCCCCGGCTGTTGCAGGGCATGAGCTTCAGAGGCAACTGGACAGATGTCTCCCAAGTGCCGTTTGATCTCCGCGCTCTGGAGCCCCGAGGGCAGCCCAGCCCCGGCGCCTCACCCCCAGCAAAGCCCATGCCGGGCCAGGGTCTGATCCTGCCCATGGGGGCAGAGAGCCCCCTGCATGGACCCCGAGAGAAGATGGATTACCTTCTGCTGTTCATCCCAAAGGCTCCAGAATTGACCTGGACGTTTAACGCCCTCCTAAAAACACCTACTCCCAAGAAATTTCTCATTTGCTCAAAGCTCCCTACATGGGCTCGCAGCTGACTCCTGCTCACCTATCTAAACTTGAAGAATTTACAGGAAACCTGTTAAAACTGATGGGTTTATTTTCTTGCTTATTTTGGACACGGCAAAGGAGCAAGCCAGGAGATAAGAGTTCTTCACCACAAATAAACTCCCGAAGTCAGCATCAGCACCACGCTCGGAGCCTGGGCTGCCCGTTACAAGCCTGGGTGAAGAACTGCAGGGATAAACCCCGTCACGTTGAGCTGCTGGGCTCCCGCGGCTCTCCCGGACCCCCCAGCTCAGAAACCAGGGTCCCTGCTCTGGGTGCTCTGCAAGTGCTGCGTCACCTTCAGCTTGACACGGTCCCTCCAGGTGGGACAGAGGAGCCCACCCCTAAGCCAGGCTCTCAGAAGATTGCTTCCCATCAATCTTTTGCTAACAGCCCTATAAAGCTCACGAGAATTAAATCAAACCTCCCAAGAAAGTTTCTTTTTTATTTTTAAACCACCCTGTAGATTTGGAAAAGAGTTTCACTAGTCCATAAATAATTTCAGTGTTGAGTATAACCAAGCATGCCATTAGCTTCTCACCCCAGAGAGCAAGGGCCACCCCTGGGATAAACCCACCGCCCGTCCGTACCATGGCGAACCCAACGTCAGCTTTCTTCAAAGCCGGACCGTCGTTGGTCCCGTCCCCAGTCACGGCCACCACCTGCCTCTGCTCACCAACGGTGCTGTCGATAATTCCTGAAACGGAGACAAGCAGTTCAGAGAAAATAACCCCCAAGGGCCAGTTCCCAGCATGGATTATGCTGCAAAAGCATCTGGGCAGAGCAGGATGAGACACCCTGGTGAGGCAGCAGCTGGGGGAGCTGGCAGGCACTCACCTTTCACAAGCGTGTGCTTATCTGTCGGGGAGGAGCGGGCCAGCACACGCAGCTTGGGCCAGATCTTATCCAGCTGCTCCTGTTCTACCTGCAGGACAAGGCACGTGTGAGAAAGTGAAGGGACCCCCCCCCAGAAATCTTCTGCCCCACTGGAGAGCAAACCCCAACCGGGACAGGGCAGCACCTTTGCCTCCAAGCACCCAGGCACTGCACTGGCTGAGGATCCCGGCTGGCAG